TCAGTCAGTCTTCAGTCAGTATTCTATCAGCCTTTGATCTGGCTTCACTCAGTCTTTACTCAGTCTTAGTCCAACTGCAGTCAGCAGTCCTTTGCTATTCTGTTGTCTGTGTTGTGATCTTTGGTGATACTAATGGGAATGCTGGGGACCTGTGATGAGTATGGGATGCTGAGACACAACCTCCTCTGAATAAGAGTTGAGGGTTGTGTAAGGCTCCCACTCTGAGGCCCAAAATCCATTGCTGAGCTATTTCTTAACTTTCCTAAAACCCTTTGTCAGTAACCGGCCTGACAGCAGGTTTGACATAATTTTCAAAAAGCCCTCCGAAAATTCTGAAGCAAATGTATTGCTTCATTGGAAAACTAGTGCTGAAAAAAACCCAACAAGAAGAATCTGCCTTGTTGGCATGAAACGGAGTGCAAAATGCAAAAAAAAAAAAGACGAGTATGCTTATTAGTTTACTATATGTGCAGTTAATGGGGAAACCCTTGAAAAGAGAAGCACAGAAGTAGCCAGATTCGGAAAATGAATTCATGTAAATTAACATCAAGCCCATGTGAATTTTTTGATGAGGGCAGTGGCTCACTTTGTTCCGGGAGTCATCAATATTTTAAAGAACGTTTATTTTTTTCTGGAACTTCTGGAAAAATCTCCATACATCTTGAGACATTTTCTGGATGTTGGTCAGATTTATTTTAATAATTCCAAGTGATGTACCTGTACTGTATCTTCAGGTCAAATCGTTATCACATTGAGTTCACTACGGTTTACAGCAGAGCTGTGGACTGTACTGAAGTAATTATTGCAGTTTAACCAATAATAAGAGAATGATTTGGGCATGCCATAATATGTACGCATATTCAAGTGTTATAAGCATTAATTTCAAATTATAGAAAATTAATTCCTCTCTTCAAAAAAAAAACGTGTACATCTTTGACCACTGTTTTACTACCTGATTTGGAAACATTTTTCTTCCGTTACTAAAGGCGTAATATTTCAACGAGTGTTCAAATCAAGGACTGTTCGGCAAAATGGCTGAAGACATTCTGATTTTTTTTTAATAAAATGCATCTGAAATTCGAAGACTTTGGTCAAAAGGCACATTTTACATCACTGTAGTATCAACGCATCAGATTTGTTTATCTTCAAATATGCCGGACAAAAAAAAAAAGCCGGCGGCTGCAACTTCTTAGTGAATTTCACACATATTCCGGGATTGAAATGTAAATTATAACTTCACTTATCCCTCCTTTTTTATATAATGAATTTAATCGGCTGAATCACAATTTTGATTCACTGATGGGTTTGATTCCCTCAAAATTAAAACTGACTTTCTTTGGCCATAAAAATGTACATAGTAGGTAAGAAAACTGTGTGGAAAAATAATTTGAAAATTCCCTTCCGCAGGTTTTTTCCAGCACAACATTCAAATTTTTCGCATCACCGAATATTACAGATTCAATGCACAACATTGTTCCTTAAAAAATAGATAATTGAGTACCCCTGTGAAGCTGGACTCCTCTCCTTCTTGCCTGTAATTTTCATTAATAGAACTTCAGTTGTTTCGCTGGAGTAATAACTAGCAATTGTTCCGCATGTTTCATAAAAATTGGTAAAAAAGGAGAATTGAAAATTGTAAAAAATATTATGAAATTCTGGAAGTGTATCACTGTAAACGAGGCATTTCGAATGATTCAAGACTGCCTTTACATGGCGTTTCTGTCGGGGCATTCAAAAGTTTTTGTTGCAATGAAGAATTCATTATAACGAACTTGGGACCAGTGTATGAGATCACGAACTAGAGCGTGAAAAAGTCCGCAATTGCGAACTGGAACAATGAATTACCCAGGAATGGAATATCCGAGGGTGACCCCTTTATGGTCACCCATAGATTGCACGAAACCCCCAGGAACATTGAAGGAGTATTTGGCGAAGTGTCCAGCGCTGTGGACT